TGCGAGAACAACTATATATTTATTGGGCCTCCATTGTTTACATTGTCTTTCCAGATCTTTAGGTATGCACAGATTATACTATGTACAACAACATGTATGCTAATTGCAATCACATGTAGGCTAATATGCAGATTAAAACAATAAGAACTAATTTGCATATTCTTTGTTCAGAAAAAATTATATTGACCGTAATATATTAATAAATTCCTATCATTACAGTTAGTACTGATATATAATAGTAATAATAATATATATATATATATATATATATTAGCATACTATATAATTAACCCAAATCCTTCCTAATCTCATTTCTCTCTATGTATAAATCAAGATCTTTGACAGCAACATAATCATCTAACAGATATATGGAATTAATGCAAATGTCAAGGTCCTTGTACAGAATGGTAGGAAATATAGCAAATAGGGGGGAATAAAAGTTTTAATGTGTGAACCAATTATAAATAAAACATCACTGAGGTTTTAACAACCATATATATATTTAAATGCCTTTAAAGTAACATTAATAAGCTTAGGTGCAATTAACTAACTTCAGTTGAATGCACTTAGTAGCCTACTGGATTATATTGCTTTTAAACAGTATAACTGGGTACATTTATGTGTTCTGCTTAAAGAACTGCATTGTTTTAATATATTTAATCAATATTTATCGATTTAATACATTTAGTACCATTATAAATATACATAAAGAATTATAATGTCTATTTTTGAAAATATATGGTGCTCTGCCATCTAAAATGTTCATGCGAGCGGTCAGGAAATGCCAATTATGGTTTAATATCAACACAGAACATTTTTCTATATTTTTCTTTTTTTTTTCACACACACAAACATATATATATATATATATATATCTTTTTTCTTAAACTTTAATTTTTATACTTTTATATATTATTGACAAAGTATATAATAATATTTCCATATAGGTTTGTATAAGAATGAATTGTTTAGTACACACTTGTTCGGCGGTACATATTTAAAAAAAAAGGAATATATTGTTTATCCCTTTTGAATTTTTCTATAAGCCGTGCAACAGAATTAACGCAGTTTATGTATATGTGTTAAAGTTTGAGTTGGGTGCACATCCGAGTAAGGAGTTCGTCATTAAACTGGAGGATTCTTTGACCACTTTCACGTTGTATTTCAATCCTGGAAGAAACGTGAATAGACCTGGGTCAATCAAAGAGAGAAGGATTGAGGAAAATGGGACGCTGGACATAGGACGCTGCTTGCTGTTGATGATATTTACTGTGATAACCGAGCTCCATCTCTTGCAGTGTGCCATCCATCTAACAGAATATTTAATCGACACATAGATTATGTATTTTAGTATTTTTGTTCCTTAGAAAAAATTATTTCATTGTCCCTCAGTTATTATATGTGAATATGTACTGATTTAAAATATAATAATAAATGCTTTATCATCTTTAAGTTTGTCTTTCCTCTTTTTCTAAACGAATTTTGATGAAGGTGTGTGCTGTTCTATTGTAGATTAAGAGAAACAAACTGAAGATCGCCGAGCAGAACTTGAGGACATAGATGTTGCGAACTATATATTTCCGCGACTGTCTCCAGGATTCCTCTGCCGTGTCAAAATCAAGACTTCTCTCCAAGAATACGATGTCCCTATAAACTATATGACGACAATGCCGTTTTTCACGCCGCAAATAAAAGGATGCAAAACTTCTAGAGACGAACTTTCAAGACTTCGAAGGCATTGCTAGCTATGGGTTACAGCTCCTAGAGGGAAGGAGCTATGTAGCGGAATATTTATTATTTAATCAATAGATTATTAAATTTAGTATTTTTTATTCACAAATTTCTCTCAATGTTTATTTGTTATTTTGTTTGTAATAAAATGAATTGCCTTGTGTCTCTTCAAATTTGTCAACCCATATTTATCTGCTTCACATGTTATTTACATGACATTTTCAAATAAACTATATTTGACATATATTTATAATACATAATTTCTATGACCTTTTTTGTTCGCATTTTTCTGACATTATCACTGAAGTTTAGTAAATTGACGCTTTAATTTTTGTTCATGTTAATTTGAAAATTACCTCTTAGCGTAATAGGTTTTAAAAAATGTTTTATCGTAGAGATTTTTGAAGCAGATATTATCCTCCATTTTAAAATGGATATAAACACCTATACATTCTCTATGGAGGATTCTTTCCCGCAGTGGAGGACACCAATATTACATATTACATATATATTACATATCAGAAAACTGATCATAACTACCTTTAAAAGTGTATTGAACAATTCAATTACACCACCACTGCGTTCTGCAATGGACGAATACACAAGTGCATTGCTTTAATGCACCTTCAATAGAAGAGGTATTCTATACAGATACGTGAATACTATTCTCCTGCAATTTAGCAATATATTATATATAGGTGTAGTTTCATATAAAAATACATATGTTGTATCAAAACAATAATTTATTTAGCAATATTTCTGGTGTCTGAATGCTAACCTTTGTCAAAGTACAAAAACGTATTGATTTTATATAAACAAGCTCAAAACTATTTAACGTAAATAGGCATGTGAAAGAAATTAGTATGAAAAAAAAGCCATATTATTCAAATATGATTTCTATTGTCAGTAATTTTATGCATATATAGGAACTATGTTACTAAATATATTTATATATTCTTAATATTTATATGTTATTTAACAAACACACAACAAGTCAAAGCACAAAAACACAACAAAAACAACACAACACACACAAACCCATATTGAAAATAGAACAATCCATAAATAAATCTTCAATTAAAAAGGCATATATTGGATCAAAATATCATTTATTTACCAATATTTCTATTGGCGTTATGTTTAATTCTATTGACGTTATGTAGCGCCGAGTTTGTTGTTAACACGCACATTAATATGTTATAATACCTTGAAAAAGGTTGGCGTTCAGCTAACTGATATATTGGTAAAATAAATGATATTTTGATCCAATATATTCCTTTTTGATTACACAAAACTATATATATAATCTAAAATTAACATTGGAATAATCGAAGACTTTTAGAAATTGATATCAATTTAGCATTATTTCTCAGTCAGTAAAGTAGTAGATGATCTGTTAATGCATTGTTCAAGATTCCTATATATCAGCTCTCTAATCGTGCATCCACAAAGTGTACTACAGTAAGGGAGACAGGATTATGCATCATTAAGGACAACGGCTCCGTGGGAGAGGACCATCTGGCCTGACGTCCAACCACATAAATTGATTCCCCAGTAAATCATGCGCGTGTTTCGCGTGAGGCACGTCATAACGCACGACACGGTGCGCATGGAAAATCAGGTTCGCATCTTTATGGTAGCTTCTCCATGCATAAAGTAATTTCTTAGGCAATTTTCATTAGTGGTAATCTGTTAAGCGCTTGGTGGCCATCTGGATAGGTTCCATGGTCTGTTTTATGCCCTCCCAGGGGATGTTGAACTTTCCTCACCTTCTGTGGTCTCAAGAGATTACGTTAAGCCGCCAACCTTCCATTATGGTATTGTAGAGTAGCTACTGTCTACTTAATCACATCTACAAACGCCCCATTTGACTCTCCGTCTTTGTATATTTTCTCAATCCAACCAATTTTAATAGCCTTTTTACAGAATACTATCTAAAATCTCTCTTTAACGAGATTTTAACTAATATTAATTTTTAAATGAAATGAATATATAATTTTGTTCTTTTTTCTATGACATATCCTATTTTATCAATACTCTTTTTCAATATGTGTTCTATGTATTACCTTGCTGTTTCTTCAATCAAACTTGCATGATATTTTTTGTTTTGTTATTATAAGGTTGTCCCAAAATTTCGTGTGTTTCTTAAAACGTTGTTTTTTAAAAGCTTTTATTTAACTTGCCTTTCTGTCTGTCTGGATGTCTGTCGCCAAATCTTGAAATCAATTTTTAATATACTTATAGGGCACCTAGAAATATGAAATTTGGTACACATGTTCAAACCTGATGACAATGCTAGCTGACCAATTTTCAGACTTCTGGGTTGTCAGGTTGGCCAAAACGGACAAATTTCCAAATTTCCTTTCAAATTTTGTATATTTAATTTTAATATGCTTCCAGACCATATAGAATAATGAAACTCACAATACTCGCTCAGTCCAACAATAATAATAATAAATTTGAGATCAATGTGATTTTATATATGAAGCAAATGATTAGCAAGATTATGCCTTTCATTAAATTTATACCTATTTGCTGCATAAATGATTATCATCCCCCACCGTTTTTATTTCTAATTCTATTAATCTATTTGTTAAATGGCACATTCAGAAATATTTATTTTATTCTTGGGGGATAATCATCGTTTATGCGTTAAATAGGCAAAAATCTAATGAAAGGCGTAATCTTGCTAATCATTTGCTTCATATAAAATCACAAAAATCTCAAATCCATGGCTATTATCCCTCACCGCTTTTTATTTCTAAGTCTATTATTTTATTTGTTAAATGGTACCTTCAGAAAAAAAGCAATACTTCAGAAATATTTATTTTGTTATTTTTAGTGCATTTTAAATAAAAGCTTTTTTTAAAAGTGTTTTTTATAATTAATTATTTCGGCGAAATATTATTACGGCGAATACATAATATATAATACAATTACTTTATACATAATACAAACACATTATATTATACATAATGGAGAATAATATTGGTATTTCAATTTTTGTAAGTGTTTACGAATTTATATAGGACAACCTTGTATTTTATTAGTTAAATTCTTTTTTTTTGTATATATTTTGTGAGGAGACTTCAAAATATGTGTATTTGTTTCATAATATTCTAACATTTATATTTATAATATAAATAAAAGCATAATCTAAAAATGAAGAATACCGAATCATTTTCATATTGACGTATGTTAAAGAACAATTTGGATTATAGATATAAGAATAAGACCTAATCCAAATAACTTAATAGAGAGTAAAATAATCATCGGTGGTTCAGTGGTAGAATTGTTGCCTGCCACGCGGGTGACCTGGGTTCGATTTCCGGCCAATACCTTTTTTTTTACACAATATAAATTTATTTAGATTAGGTTTTATTTTTTTGTATATATTGACGAATGTTGATTCAAATGAGAATGTGTTTTACAAACTCAATGTGGCAAGAAGCATACAAACACTACAGGAGTCAACATCCCATCATTGGTACCTGAACCAAAAGCCTGGAGCTATTCTAGAATATGGGATGAACCGTCAGGCAGCAACCTATATCTCCAGGCTCAAAACTGGTCATACAAGACTGCTCTTCTTCCAGGATGGTGTGAAGACCTTCCCACAATGAACCATCTGCAGGACCAAATGGCCTCACCAGACCATCTCTTGGAATGCATTGGAGCCTAAAGACAGGACCTGTATTCCAAACCAACCGAGATTGTGAATTTGATTACTAAATATAGTCTCTATGACCTTGCATAATTATACAATGGGATAATAAAAAAATGTGGCGAGATATGCTGACAGGAAGGTAGAGAATACTGACCTAGAGAAGAACATCTGCTAGAGAGAAAACGTAAAGAGAAATTTGGAACAAGAATTAATATCATCTAATAATGGCATTGACACTCAATGTGGATAGAACTCCAAAAAATGGAAAAACTGAAGAAATATTCAAAGAAAGTTAGAGAACATTTTTTTTATTTAAAATAAAAAGAGAGAGAGAGATAACTAAATGCTCAAATATCCTCATAATTCTTTCATAACTTTAAAATCTTATTTTAAAACCTTTTAACCACACACACATTAAAATAACTAGAAGTAAAAAGATAATATATAAATTCTGCAATACGCCTCCTTTATTATATCAAGTAAAATTTAATTATTTTTATTTTTAAAATTCTATATGCATTTTAATCGCTTTTATTTGAATAACTCTTTCTAATTTTGTTATATAAAGGCAGAGTTACAATTAACATTTTCTAACAAACGAGGTGTGATTTAGGTAAAAAATAAATACCTACGAAGGAACAAAATATTTGTTTTTAAGATTTTGTGTAGTTCGAAGGAATTAGTTCGAAGTTTTTATTGCTTAATATCTCTATACCAATGTCAACTTATGAATGAATATTTTTTCCTTATGCGTTTCTTCATTATATAACCAATCTGGCTGAATTTTTAACATTATTTAAAGTCTTTAGAAGGAGACTTTGTTAGATTTTTATCAAAATAAAATTCAAATTAACCAAGCACTGGACTAATTTATAGAAATTTAGTCAGAAAATTATTATGATAATATTTCTGCATCGTGTTCGAAGGGCAGAAACAAAATTCATTTGGCGAAACATTCATACGAACTGAACACAGGCAAAGCCTGGCCATCGTCTTTGATAGACCTGAATAAGATTCTTTTGGATAAACATTCACTCGATAAGGAAGGTTCAATTTTCTTTTTCATTAAAACTATTAATATAAAATCATAAATTTAACAAGTATGTTAATGAATATAGATACAATTTAAACTATAGGCTATTGAAGAGTCCTATACGCAAGCTAAACCAATAACTAATATGCACCTTTTGTGATAGAGAATTGATAGATCTGAAATTCGTTTCTATAGTTTGAAAATATGCAAATATTGGACTAACTTGCTTATTTTGGATTCATAAAATGTGATGTTAATATTAGGACATTAATTTTGTTATTGATACATTCCCATAAATATACTAAAAAATTAGTTGGATTTACGAGCAAGTCTAGAATACCGGTACTACAAGTCTTTATAATACAATATAATCCGGCTATGATTATAGAACGACGTTTAAAAAGTTTTACCGCAAATGTTTCTTTTTACAGAACGAAAAATCGTAATTTTTTAATTATTTAAGGATAAATAACGATTATTCCTATCCTTAGGGATGAAGTATGAAAGTATGGATTGTGAAAGGTAATTATGAACGGAAAAATAGAAGTGTCCAGGAATAGTCGTTATTTCTCTTTAATAATTCAAAATTACGATTTTTCAATCTGTAAAAAGAAACATTTGTTGTAAAACTTGTTAAACGTCGTTCTACTACAAATCCTATTGAAAATTTACCGAGTTCTCGGATTCTCTCCGAGTGAAAGTTTTCCCAAGGAATAATGCTATAACAAATAAATAGTATTTATTATGATTATATCTTATTTTATCATTCTAACTGCAAATAATTTAAATATGAGAAAACTTTTATGGAAACACAAAATGATGATGATAATAATGATATATTATAATTGGAATCCTCATGATACTACTAATTGGAGTTATAAAGATATAATCATATATATAAAAAAGAAAAGGGCATCTTCTTATCAGGCAAATGAAAGTTGTTGATGGCTTGCGCCATCTATCGGAATAAATATCAACTATTCGTTGATTTTTAATTATTCCAGAATTGGCCAAATACCCATTTTTGATTAATCAAGAGAAGCTAACCACTTACGCGTTTCGGGCTGTTGTGCCTCATCAGCGTGGTGAAATCATATATAAATATATATTCATTCGGAAATAAGCTAGGCGAAGCTGGATCATTTAGTTAGTAGTTAATATTTTCATAATAATTGATTCTAAAATATGCAAACTAGTTCAATTTATCTAATTTCAGGCTTTGGAAAGATTTGATGTTAATCTATATACTCAGCTATATAAATGCAAAATGTTCCAATAGTTTTTTAGTAGTTATTATGATGAATAGCAGCAAACATCAATGTATTTTTAGAAGATTAGATTAAGTATATTCTGTATAATGATAGTTTTCAATTAATATAACTAATTAAGTCCAAAGGGGCCTAGACGCAATGGTTAATGGAAATAATTGAATACTCCCATTTCCGTTGCTTACTTTGGTCAAAAATAACAATATCGACAGAAACTTTGGTATACCAAGTATTCTTATGATGCATCAGCGCGCCATCTGTTATGAACATTCGAAACTATTATAGACGCGTATGATTCTTTTGAAAATTATACAATTTCTACTGCCCTTACTGCAATGGAAAATAAAAGGGAGAGCGTGGCTCATCAGTGGCGAACCCCCCCAGCGGTTTCGTCAGTTTAATATACCATACCGCTGTTATTCTCTCTTCTGATTCCCGTTCGTTCATCAAACACAAGTGAAGGAGACCGGGATGTCCGTCATTCATCCGACTCGGCCCTGAAGGGCAATTAAACGGACAAATGAGGTAGTGGGGATAAAGGGACCGACGGTGGGCAACTTAAATCAAACCTTCGGCACAATGGACGGACGGATAGCCGCTTCTTCCGACTTGAGAGCCTCCGACAAAGAATTACTTCACACCGTGGATAATATTTGCATAGTTAATGGTGGGAGAAAAGTCTTTGGGAACGCTTTGTGTCTTTTTTTTTTTACATTAAGGTGGATTTTAGAGAAAAAAATTCAGAATATTTAGACATGCTCTCTAACTTTTAAATAAATATTTTAAATTTCCTTTCAAAAATTGGCTTTATATATAGAAAATTCCTGGATTTATATTCAGACGAAACTGCCCAAGATTTCAGTATAACCCATATGAACGACACAACCGAACTCTTTGTCAATTATTCAAATATAAGATATCTTAATATATATTTAAAAATACCAATTAACTTGATATATTTCCGGTGTACACCATATTTATTGACCAAGCGACTCGCATACAACCAAAAGCGAATAGAACAGCATGCTTCATCAGTGCTATAATACAGTTGATGGGTTATATAAATATTATATATATATTATAATTATAAAGGCATATATTGAATCAAAATATAATTTATATAAACAATATTTCAGTTGGCTGAACGCCAACCTTTTTCAAGGTATTATAACATATTAATGTGTGTAAACAACAAACTCAGCGCCACATAATGTCAATAGAATTAAGTTTCAAAAATATCTTTTACCTCGTATATTAAATGGGGAGGAAAAATATATATTATGTGTGTGTGTGTGTGTGTGTGTGTGTGTGTGTGTGTGGAGAGAGAGACACTTGAAAGATGCGTCGCCAGTGCTAGGACTGTGCGATCCGCCATAGTTATTCAGAGTCACCACGACTATCGGAGTTGCCCCCGTTTGGTCTTGGTCTAATAAAAGCACCTTCACCCTAAAAGGGACGAGGGCTCAATTGCATGTATTAGCTCTAGAATTACCACAGTTATCCAAGTAAATGTGTACGATCTAAGGAACCATAACTGATTTAATGAGCCATTCGCGGTTTCGCCTTGCTAGGGCGTGTACTTAGACATGCATGGCTTAATCTTTGAGACAAGCATATGACTACTGGCAGGATCAACCAGGTATCCTTCGCCAGTCCCCGCCGCGAGACGCCCTCGGGCCGCCTCGCCGGGACCACGCTTAGGGACGCAGCACCCGCCTCTCCGTGGCGGCCACCGCACCCTTGACCCCCTCCGCCGGAAAGCCCGACACCCACTGGTCCGGGCACTTTCCACGCATCCGCCCAGACGCGAGTTCGCACAAGTGTGGAGAGAGAGAGAAATATTTTTAAAACTTGGATCTATTGACGTTATGTGGCGCTGAGTTTTTTTGTTGATATATGCCTTTTAAATCAAATATATATTTATGGATTATTCTTATTTCAAAATAAATAATATATATAATTGTGGATTTATGGAAGTTAAATTTGCCATATGTTGAAATATAGATACTTCATGAAAATAATATTAAAAAAAAAAAAAAATTGTGTTGTTGTTGAAATAGTCGAAGGCTGATGTAATAAAACTGTATCTAATGCGATAAAGTATTAAAACAAAAATTATCGGAAATTCTTGAATCAGATATTTAACTTCCCAACATATATGGCAAATATTTCTTGGGAAATTTACTTTATACTTCTTGAAGACAATGGTGTCATAGAACACCTTAGAACAAGAGAGCTAAGAATGACATATAAATTGACTTATAGAATATAGCAGAAATATCCCCGGAAATGTTCTGCATTCACACACTTATTGGAATTCCCATGGTCAAATATTGGTTTTGGAAGTCTTCACAATTTGTAGGAATATTGAC